CCCCATGCATTCTCCCTCCATTCTTCACCAAGAAGCATCCCTTTCCGCCCATCCTTGGCTAGCTCATCAGAATCCCAGATCTTTTTTGTTGGCAAAAGCTTAAAGAAAGACAGAATAAAACATTTTTCCCACTGTTAATAACTAAAGCAAGAAGGAACTGCAATGTGTGTGAATATATATAGAGATCTCCCAAAAAAGCTAATAGCTTCCTCCATTGGAACAACTTTTAATCCAATTATAGAGTACCCTCTGTATTAATTTGTGTACCAATAATTAATGTTTTAACAACACCACAAATCCTTGCATCAGCTGTAGCACGAAGAAAAAAAAAAGACGGCCTGTAGAGCTGGGCTGAATGTGCAGAAATTGATTTTACAATAGTAGGATGGGGAAATTTACACTTAATTTTCAATAGAGGTCAAAACAATTTGTTTTCCCAGGCGATGCTGATTAAATTATGGAAGTATTCTCGACCGCTGTAGAGGATCAGAAGTTAGTCTCTCTCTTTGGGGATAAAATGAATTAGATGATCCTGAAGGGATAACAGATCTAATTTAAAATGCCTTACCTCTCCCATTCCTCTCGACTCCAGAGCAAGAGCTTGAAAGTCATAATTCATTTCATCTACAGTTCGAACCTAATGTTAGAAAACAACAACACAGTTTTGTAAGAAAACATTTATTTTGCTGCAATATCACAAAAAAAATATTTTCAAGTTTTGCCATCTGTTTTCTTTCTTTTAATACTAATCTAAGATACCATTAAAAAAATAGATAATTGTGTTGCATTGAAGTACATGTAAAATATTTTTTTAAAATAAACTAAATGCCAGATATTTTCTGGTCATAAAATAGATGATTTATGTTGAACTCGAAGAAACTTCTTTCATTTAGGAATTAATCGCAGATGATCAATTTTACATGCATTTATTGAAGGATCTTAGTTCCCACAATTGGACACGATGAGCAAAATGTCCAAACTACGTGTTTGAATTTGTTTGATACGCAGTTAACTCAATGTTATGTGTTCATTAAAACTGTAAAAAGGAACCAGAGAAAAACTCATGAGTAGAAATCCATGCCACAATGACGTCCAAACTGTAAATCATGTATCCCAGTCATTCGATATATAGGTTTGTTCTTTTGCTTTTAAGACAAAATCTCCTTTACGAGATCTACAGTTCCACAACATCAATTTTATTTATTTTTATCCACATTGGTTTTTTAACTGCACTTAAAAGCATTTTATTCCTTTAATACAAAAATATTGAGTTCAGAAATAAAAACGCAGATTAGAAGTTAAAAAAGAAAAAAATGGAGGGGATATTTACCAGCCTATGTCCATGTAATAAAGAGTAGATCAGTACATTACTAGTTACGATTTACCTGATCAACATGATTAGCATCTCCAGTTGGCCAACGGTGCTTGTTAGGAGTGCAACCCACAAGTTGCTCTCCATGTTGTCTCTGAAAGAAGTATCCAACTGTGGCGTCGTCCTGAGATCTTCCGCTGAGCGGAGGCTGCGGCGTACCTGGGGTAAGGTTAGCACTTCTATCCATACCCTGTAAATGTGGCCCCCCAGGAGCCTGTCCACCACCCCCGACCGCAGTCAGTGGCCCACCGCCATGAACCCGGACACCCCCTGATTCGGGAGCACCATTTGCATGCAGCATCCCACCTCTCGTCTCCTGCCAACCCACGTCATTCATGCCTAGGATGCTGCATGGAATGCTCATTCCACGGGAAAGCCTAAGAAAAACGCAATATGTGAAAGGTCAGACTGTTGCACCCTCGTGTTCTCGGATAGTCAAATGGAAACAATTTCTTGTCTTGATGTGCTTAACTCAACATTCTTCAAGAAAAATACATTGGAAATGTACTGTTGTCATCATATACCAAGATTTTTGAGATGTTGGTTAGGAAAAAAAAAAAAGTTCCCAATGTCACTGATTTTGTGACTTTTTTTTTTTTAGATTGTCAGAGGAACTTTATGAAGCATAAATAAGTCAGCAGCAACTTTGTTTCTCCCTCACAAAAAAAAGAGAAAAGTCAAAGTATGGAAATTAAAGGAGTGCCACCAATCTCTCTTAAGAAGGTAAAGCTGTTTTTAAAGCCATTTATAAGCAGTCAGTTAAGCAGCTGGCTGCAGTCTGGCTAACGGAGTAGATAGCCTGACAAACCAGATTTTGCTACAAAACAAAGTTTATTCTTTACTTAAATGCTTGTATGAAAATAAATAAATGCCATAAGTTATCGATATATTCCACATTTCAGGAGCAGAAAAAAACCTCAGCTTTTACTTTGCAATTTTCAGTTTTGTTAATGTGTTGTCATAAAAATCCTGACAGTTGGAGACACAGTAAAGTTCTCATAGTGGGCCTGATGTTTTGCTCATTTGTATTAGCTTCACTTAAGTTGTACAACCACAGTACTGCTGCAGGTAAATTTTGACCTTATTGACAAGGAGAAAATGGTAACAGTTGATAAAGAAGGGTCACAGCAAGATATTTTTAAAGTTGTAATAACATTAAGAAATAACTAGAGGTAAATTAATATGAAAAATATCAAGCCCTTCAAGATTAGAAATGGGGAAAAATTCCAACGTGGCATCAACTTTACATACAATAGCAATGTTATTCCAGAAGCCATTGCACAAACAAGATAGACTATATTGATGCTCATTTACAAATTAAAGATGTAATTTTTTAAATAAGAATTACAATCATCACTTGTAGGCACTTCATTAATACTTTAGACAACCCAGGGTTTGTTGGGGGATGATGCACTCTAAACAAAGCTAAAGATAGAGCGTAATTTCATTGTATTCGCTGGGTTCAGACTAATTCCTGACCTGCTAACTCTAAGCCATGAATGTTTATAGTTTTTATGTCATTTATTGTGTTTCCTGCACACCAGGAAACTAGTTTTATTTTGGGAATGTGATGTGGCAGACATGGGGAATGCATAACATAAGAAACAAAAGCAGCAAAAAAAAAACTATATAGTGTAACCAAGCTTCCATTTAGCTACTGCTAAGCTAACACTGCGCTACAACTATATTGCGGTAGTGGTTAAATATTCTAACAGTTGGATACATTATATATGGTAAATGTTAACCTAAATGTAACCTTAATGCACAAAAAGTCTAATTACACTCACCATTTAGTTATCATTGATATGATAAATAAAACCAGAAGCTTATATTAAGCTAGGTAACAAGCCCGTTGCTAATATCCAAGCCAGCTTAGTAGCTTTGACGGGTTTTATTGGGAATTTCCGTTGAAAATGCCCAAGTATCAAGCTGTTAAGATCTCTATTGTATATAATAACGTAATAGAGGAATGTTTAATATCTGAAATAGAGCACGACTGACGTTAAATTGTGTTAGTAACGGGGGTTAGCATTAGCAACATAAACGGCTAACGAACTAATGCTAAATGCCGGGCCTGCGTGTTTATTATTGGTTTGTACCGCTAAATTTTTATGTTAAAATCGCGAATTCAACAATGGTCAACTGTTAACGTTGACACCGTCACAAGTGACGACAATAAATGTTGTTGGTGTGATTGTACAGTAACGTTTAGCATTATTAGCAAGCAATTTAAAACCAACGACAGCTATCAAGAGAGCTAATTGCCAACTTGCTGTTGTCTGAGCTTAAACATCAGCCAAACACTCAACAACATGGCCCCCCTTCAAGTCTCAAACAGAGGGGCCTTTACCGCTAAACAAAAGAGAAATACCCACACCGCGGCTTAGAACCGCCATCGATTACCTTAATTTGCGAGATTTCTGCTTCAATTATTCTTAAATATTGTTAAAAATACTCACGCCTTGTCGTGTCGATGGAGCCTCTGTGCTTGTAGCCGTCAACCCTACTCTATATTGTTTTGTTGCCGTGGAGAGAACGGTGATTTTTAGCAAGGCTTGTTCAGAGCTAATAGTTTGCCTACGCTGGTGCCCCCTCCCTGTAAATAGCGTGAACTACGTAGACCTACGTCCAACATCAAAGTGTGCTTTCCCAAACACAATCGGGGGCCAAAGTGCTACAATCCGATAGCTAATTTGTTGAAACATTTTTACATACAAAATTAAACTGTGAAGTGTCAAAATAATCAATTAAAACATACATTTATTTTGAGATTAAATTATACAGGGCTATTTTTTAGCATTTGATTAAGGTAAGTTAATATTTAATTTGTTGTTTGTTATTTAAAAAAAATTAACTGACTTCCTCATCAAACACCGTAAATCATATTGATGACCATAAAGCATTAGCAAACTAATCACCTCATCCATATAATGGTACTCTTGAGAAAAGTTAAAATAAAATAAAACATTATTAAATAGTAACTAACATCAAATGGTAACGCAATTTTTAATCATGGATTTGATAAATTATACAAAGGTATAGGTAAACAAATATGTAAATGTTTTTGTTTATTTATTGTCTCTTTTTTGTTCAGTTTAAATAGTACTACTCGAACATATAATTCTATGTTTAGCGCCTTTTTTGTATATCAATTGTCACTTTTGCCATTGATAGCAATTTATCATGGATCTAAGTTATAATGTGAATAGCAGCATCCCATAAATATGCAGCATGGCCAATTAAAAATCTTTCTAATATTGCTTTGAGAAAAACATATTTTTAGTCTTGATAAAAAATTAATATTATGAATTTTGTCCTATTTTTTTTCAAAACTGTGACTAACTTAACTGATAAATAATCGACACCCTAACAATATAGTTCGGTCAACTGGGTGGGTCCTTGTGGATTCTGTCCCTCCTCTCTTTAATAGAAGCCAATAAGATCCAATCAGGTTTTCCTCTACAAACTATGATCTCACCTCCTTATTTCCGATTGGATCGTTATATTTAGGAAACCAGCCCCGCTTTATAAAGACAAGGCCGTTGTGGAGTTTGGAGAGGACATTTTCTGGTAGAACCAGCCTAATAAGTGTCCTGTACGAGTTTAAAAGCAGACCCGAAACGAAAGACTGTCCAGACGTTATTTTGGATGCCGCGTTTAAAGAAAACCCAAGAAGCGACCCAGATGGCTGTCCAGCGAAAGAAACTTGTGGTTGTCGGGGATGGTGCGTGTGGGAAAACGTGTCTACTGTTCGTTTTCAGCAAGGACGAGTTTCCCGAGGTCTACGTCCCGACTGTGTTTGAAACCTACGTGGCCGACATAGAGGTTGACAACCAGCAGGTCCAGCTGGCTCTGTGGGACACGGCCGGACAGGAGGACTACGACCGACTGCGCCCACTCTCCTACCCGGACACTGATGTCATCCTCATGTGCTACTCCGTGGACAGCCCGGACTCGTTGGGGAACATCTCCGAAAAGTGGGTCCCCGAGGTCAAGCACTTTTGTCCGAACGTGCCAATCATTTTGGTGGCCAACAAGAAAGATCTGCGCAACGACGAGAACACGAAGAACGAACTCTCCCGAATGAAACTAGAGCCCGTCAAGGCGGAGGACGGTCGTGCGATGGCCATGCGCATCGGCGCGTACGACTACTTGGAGTGCTCCGCCAGGACCAAAGAGGGCATCTGGGAGGTGTTCGAGACCGCAACACGGGCTACCCTCCAGAAACGCTCCACACCGGGGGATTGTTTCAAATGCTGTGTGATGCTGTGAGTCAGCTGTGGATTACAAGGACTGGAGGACCTTTGCAGCATACAAGACGTTTCCTTCCGCTGGGGGTCTGTGTTTGGACATGTTGTCAGCCGAACCAAAACAAGTGACTGCAAACACATTGTTCAGAGCACGCTTGCATGTGGGTGTTGGTGTGTAATGCACTGGTTTGAGCATCTTCGTCCTGGGTCACATGATCCTCATCTGTTCGAAAAGCAACAAACCAACCAATTGTTTCATTATATTTGGAGAAGTTTATCCTCTGCTCACTGAGTTTGGCCTTACCTGAGACTGGCTTGCAAGCCAAGACCTTTACTGATCTATTTTTGTGTTTTGTGTTTCAAAGTATTATTATTTTTTTTTTTACATTAACTGTTTCACCGAAACTCTGCACTCTAATTTATGTTTGAACTGTGTTGCAACATATCTGTCCAGTTTGTGAAATTGCACTTCACCGTAATCATTATAATTCAAAGGAATTAATATGGTATTCTGTATAGTGTTTTTAGTTTAGTTTTTATGTTGGTTTGGGTTTCCCCTCCGCCCCCAACTAAAATCTGTGTTTTTGATATACAGAGTTGCCCAGGGTGACTATATGACAGTGTGGGTGAGGCACACAAGCACCAGAAAAAAGCCTTGAACAAGTTTTCTGTTGCTTTTTGTTAATGAAGGATTACAGGGGTGGCCAAGTCCAGTCCTCGAGAGCCACCATCCTGCAAGTTTTAGAAGTATCCTTACTCCAACAGACCAGGATCAGCTCTACAGAGGCCTGATAACGAGCCATTCATTTGATTCAGGTGTGTTGAAGCAGGGATGCATCTGAAACTTGCAGGATGGTGGCTCTCGAGGACTGGACTTGGCCACCCCTGGATTAGCATGTCTTGCTGCTGAGAATAGGTAGACTGTTTTATGTGATTTGCGCAGAACTACACTGCGTTTTGCCCCAGAATTTAGATTGTTTCACATATCTTAAGCAGCTTTAGGGTCAACAGTAACGCCTAAATTTTCTTAAGAGTTAATAGATTTTTATTTATTTTTTTTACTTTTCATAAAATCATGGTTCTTAGTGGTCATATTGACCAGTTTGTACTACTCTTGGGTGTACTAGAGCACATAGCCAGGTTTTGTGGTACTAAATGAAAATGTTTAACACTATCAAACTGAAATCTAAAATGTATTTGCAAGCCAGCTCATAACTAGTTTGTCTTTTCTGCAAGTATGAGGAAAATGTTCAACCAGCTGAGCAGGAGTTTGTAGAAAAACATGTAAGGTAGGGACAGCTTTGCATTACTCTTGGGTTTTATACAGCCGGTGCACTTTGTCTGAAATCAATTCAAGAGGACTTTGAATTATAGGAAAGTACTGACAAATTTTGGTGGGTACAGGTGTGTATGTTGTGTTTTTTTTTTTGTTTTTTTTTACTTTTTAATACCCTGACATAGCGTTCAGTAAGTATTGCCTTTCAGCTTACTTTACCAAAGGTCTTTTAAAGCACATACAGTATATAAAGGAGCTGCTTCAGAGGGTTTCATGTCTGTTCACCCCTCCATAATTTTGTATTTATTGTTGTTCGGTCCCATTCTACTTCAATTTAACTTGGACAAATGTTATATTTCTAAGGACTTTGTCACACCATGTTTCCATCAATTCTGGTTCTGATATGCATTTGTTCTGACTGACTAATGAAATATGACAGATTATGATCCTTGATCAGATCAAAACACCACAAAGTGACTTCATGTGAGTAGAATTAATTTATTTAGGTTGAGTAAGCATTTTTTGTCCAAGTAAATCATAATAGTGTCAAAACTTTTTAATTAGACGGTATATTGTATTGTGATTGCATTACTAGTGTGTGCGATAGTGTTTAGATAAACTATTTGGCAGGCAGTATAATTTCAGGTGCCAAGTATTGATGTTGCGCTTTTTGATGAGCGTTTTTTTTTATTATTTTTTTTTATTAGGTAACCTGAATTGACTTTTTATTCTTGCACTGCACAAAGATCTTAATAACTCAGACACTGAAGCTTTAGAGGTTGGAGGTGATGATGGGGAAACAAAGTGGAAAGTGAGAAAAATGTGTTTCTGTGTTCCTTTATTGACATGTTGATTTCAGATGTGCCATGAAGCTCTACTTTAAATTGTTAGTTGCCAAAGCGGGTACGATAGACGCCCTTGGCATGTTTGTCTAATAGTTCTTATGCAACATGGTAGGAAAAAAACAATTTCGTCATGTTCCTGAACAAAAAAGGGCAAAATAGTTGACTCTTTCCAAGGTCTGTTCTGTAAAGGGCTAGTGTCACGTTTACAGTAATGCCTTCAGATTTTGGTCATATTGATTAGTCGGTACATAATCCTGTTTAGTTTATAGCACAGTTAAACCAAGTTATGTATGCAGTAGCTAAAGCGAAGCTTTTCAGAGTGATTATTCTGTTACTTTCCTATTTAGAAACTATGATGATTTGGCATCTTGTATAGGGCGCGATTTTGTTTAATAGTCAGAAATCCAGGTTTGTTTTGTTTTTTTTATGGGGGGAGGGTTCAGCTAAATAGTACTTTACATTAACAAAGCACTTCAGTGTATCAGTTTGCGTTTTTCAAGACTGATATTTTCTCTGGTAACACCAGCCTGTACATAGGTGTCAAAATTAAATGTGAATCGACAAACCTGCTGTAACAACTTAAACTGCATCAGGAGTATTTTAAGTCACTAAACAGAAATCTAAATATCTTCCGCTGCGACGATGAATGTACCTTAAATTGACTTGGTCAGAAAACTCGTGGGATAGAATTTAATGTATCTGAGTTAACCTTCGGTTGTTGTGAAATAAGTTCAGCTCATTTGTTACTCCACATGTTGTGTAACTGTCCTATTGTGTGGTCGTGGGAGTGCTTGTTCAAATAAAAGCTTTTTACATTGATTACTGACACTGTTGCTGTTCTGGTGATTCAGGAAATTTCTCTCCGTGTTTTTTTTTTTTTTTTTTTTTTTAGGCGGAGAAAGCTTGTGAAACGCATCCTATTTCTGCTAATGAGAAATAACCGGCATGTCCCAGGGTTTAAGCAGTGAGTGTTTTCTGAATCTACCCAGAGACACAATGGTGTAAAAGTCACATTCCCCGCTGTCTTCCGTTACTGGGCTTTCTGCTGACCTACACAACAGGAATGCATTGTGCTGAACTGCTTGATTTTCCCACAATGGCCCCCCTGATGTGCCTCTGATTTACAGCAACGTTAACACAGATCGAATGCTGCAGGTTTTTCTAATCTTTATTTTTGCTAAAATGTGGAGAAGGACAACAATGAATGTGTGAGATGTTTCTATTTATGGGTATTTGTTGTACTAGAATGGCACTTTGGATATATTGTGAGGAGAAAATGGTGCCTGTTAAGAAGGAAAGAGTGAAAATCTAAATAAAGTGATTTTTCATGAGCTTTTGAATTTGACTTCTTTCAATCATGTTAATTACACATACATCAACATTGTATTATATACTGAAACGTACAAAGAACTATGTTTGATTTATTGAATTTTGTATCTCTTGATATATTTTGACTATTTCATACTTAGGATTATTAGCTTAAATATTGTAAATATGACTCAGGAAAAAGAAACTGAAAAAAAAGTAATTTATTGTTTACGGTAACACTCCTTACACAATCTACATAACAAGATAGACCTGAGAAGCAAAACATAGTTTCATGATATTTTTATGCTATTATTACTAATGTGAAATACATAAAATAATTTACCTTTCAAATATAGTGTAAATAGTTCATTCTTTTGCTTGTTTTCCATTAGCAGTCTCCAAGGAGATGCTGTGCATGTCTTTCTTCCACTTTGTTTCACGAGAAGAACTGTGAATGCCACAGATACTATTTTAGTCTTGACTAAATATAGACCTGAGCATGGGGGCAGCATAAAGGACAAGTGGCTGGAGTGTACTGTAGACTCTGATTTATGATATCCAAAACAAAACCCATTTTAGTTTTACAGTCGCAACAAGTTAAAATTTCACAATAAAAGTCTTGCAAAAGTCTTCATACATTGCACATTTTATCATGTTGCAACTACATACTTGTGATTTCAATATAAGGTTATGTCATAGTAGGCCAATACTCAGAGTAGCACACAATTATGAAGTGTAAAGAAAATGGTACATGGTTTTCTGAACCCACACTTTTCCCCTGTAATGACAGCTGTGCATATTCTGGGATTTTCTTCACCCGTTTTGCACTACTAGAGACAAAGGTTTGCCCACATTTTGGGTGATGTTCACAGACAAAAGGTCTTTCAATTATTAACGCAGATTCTCATTTGGATAGGTCTGGGGTTTGTAACACTTGACTATACTTTAATCTAAAGCTGTCTTTTGTAGCTCTGGCTGTATGGTTACGGTCATTATCCTGCTGGATCTCTGCCTCCCTCTTAAGTCTTTAAAAGCCTATTACAGGTTTTCTTCCCAGAATTTTCCACATAATTCACAATGTGACTTTTCATGTGAATGATTGCGACAGATTTATTTTATTTTTTTGTGGAATCTGAAGAAAAGCTTATAAAACAATGTATTCTTTTTTCCTTTCAATATGCAATACCAGGTAACGATGTGCTGGTCTATTATAGAATATTTCCCAGTTTGTGTTTGTGAATTGGTTAAATATGAAAAGATTCAGCGGATATGCATACCTTTGTCTGAGACTGCATATTGTCAGAAAAGACACTACCGACCCACTGCTTCTGTGTTTAGACTTCTTTCCTGAAAACAGTTTTATTTTTGTTTTCTAGCAAAAGCACTCTGAGCTCTGATTCTGTTATTTCTGTGATCACTTTCTGTTCTGTTAACCATCAGTTTGCATATGATGATACCAAGGCTATGTCTATTGCAGGTTTCTTCCTGTTAAAAGGCAGGGGTTTATCTTCAGATGGTTGCTCAGTATGACAACACAGCCAGTGTCAGAGTAATCGACTGGGCTTCTGAATGCAATTTTTTTTTATCCATTGGCTGAATCGGACATTATTGTTCTAAAATTTGATTGAAATGTCTGTGGATTTGAATCAATCTCCATGATTAGTTTATATTGAAACAAACTGGATGGGCATGACTTGGTGCTATAGACATAAACTGAATTAAAAATATTATTCACAGTGCATGGTCTAAGAAATGCTCAGAGATTTATGCAGTACAAACAGTTTATTGGTGGCCACATAGGGTTTAAATAGTATAAGACACAAAGGATGCACAGTTGGATCAGAAAATTGTTAGTCCACCATGAAAAAAACAAAATTATGCAGAAAAACAGCACAAAGACTCATACTAAAAACAGACATCTATATGACTGTAGAGTTTAGCTTTTTTATGACAATAAATTAACTATTGAGTTGGTTGGTTGTGATAGAATGGTAGTTAATTCAGATACTTGCTTATGGGTTTTGTTGTATTGGTGAGTTAGTTGAATTTGGCAACAAATGGTAAAGGAATGTCAATCTCTATCTGTCTGTCACTTACTCTCACATATGATTCAACATTCTTGCTTTTTTCTTTGAGGGTCCTAATGACACTGTTGTGGAAAGCGTTGATGCGTTTAACGGATAAGTCAATCCAGGACTGGATGTCTGTTCTAAGCTGTGAAGTTGACATATCAGCCATGATGCTGTGGATTTTATCAATCACAGTTTTGAGATATTCCTTAATGATTATGTGCAGGTCATCAACCCGTTTGACAACATTGGCCAGGAAATCGGAGTTCTTGGCATCACGGTATGCATCCATCACAAAGCTGGAGATGTTCTCAACATTTGGGGCTTTTAGAGTTTGGAAAAACTTTTCACTTTGTTCAACAATAAACTGCGTGAATTCTGAGGATTTCCTAATGATGTCGTCCAGTTGGATATCTCCAAGTTTCCTTATGCTAACAATCAGCTGTTTCTGAATTTTCCTCAAAGCAGTCATCAAGTCATCGAAAAGTTCTTGGCCAGTGATAATGCTGTTAGAGCCAGGGATGGTGAATTCTACGGCTTGGATGTGATCAAAGACTGATGCAAAGATGGTGGCAAAGTACTCAGGGAACTTCTCAACGGCCTCTTCAGACACATCAGCAACAAAAGTGCTGAATTCCTGGTAGACCTCAAGTCCAGAGAGCCTTCGGTCATAGCCAGGGATCTGGAACTTGGTGTGTCTCAAGAATTTAATCACAGCATCAAGAACAAGCTCAACCTTCTTCTGGGACTCTTTGAGAATCAGAACGGTCCTATCTGTGACAGTTGTCATAAAGTCAGAAGAAGTAACATCAGACAGTTTTTCAACAGCCTTCTTGAACACTGCTTTACCCTGCCTTCTTAACTTTTCAAATGACCCCTTGAGACTCCTAACAAGCCTGTTGATCTTGTTGTTCATCTTAACAGCGGCATCGGAGACCATTTCCATGGATACTGGCACCTGTTTCTTCAATCCCAGCATCATCTCATACGGTATCTCCATATTCCAGGTCGTCTGAAGATTCAGCTTCTCAGAGTCCATTACAGACATTTTGAGACCCCAGATGTTGATGTCTGTTGTTGGTTCAGTCTGTTGAGAGGACAAACATGAATAAAAACATAAAATTAGAAAAGAAAAAAATTAAACATATATCTTAGGTGAACAGAAAATAAGCTTTTATTAATGAGCAAATGTACATGTGTTCTCTTACCGGGTAGCGACCGTAGAGTCTAGCTTTTACTTGTGCTGGCCGCTTGGTCTGCATCTGTACACCAATGAGTCCTGCAGAAGGTGTGGACATGGAGACAACAAGGCCATCTACTGGATTTCCCTTAATTTCCTGCTTGATTTCCATAGTGAGTGAAGGCAAATTGATCTTTGCTGCATTGCTCACAGATGTTTCTACATTTTCATAACTCAAGATGATGGTGCTCTCGTGGTTTCCTTCTAGCATTGAGTGCTGTACAGAAAAGAGAGAGGCCACCTTAAATTCTCCCTTTGTGTTAACATTGGTGTTGGCTTCAATCTTTCCAGTCAGAATTTCAAACCCAGATATTGAGGAGGCATCAAATTTGGCCTTGAGGCCATCCTGGTTGAGGATGCTGGCATCAGTTTTAAGTGTGATCACTTCTGTTACCACTGAGAACTCATAAGTCAGATCACCCATCACTGGGATCTTGATGTTCTGAACCTTGGGCAGAGTGATTTTTGGAACAGTCAGCTTGCTGAGTGCAGATGGGATATGCAGCGAGGGCATTGTGACAAGTGTGACATCAGGCAGGGGAATTGTGAAGGAGGACATCTCAACATTCATCACTGGGACTTTGTAGGCAGGGATTAAAATGGTTTTTGGCAACTCAATGCTGTATTTTTCATACTCTGACATTGCTTTGTCATAAGATGAAGCGAGAATGGTGACAGCCTTATCCTTGCCTATGAGCATTTTCTTGTGCAGGGCCCGCATGTTGGAATTAATGGCCCGGATGACTGGATCCAGATTAATGTTAATTGTGATTGTCTCAGGGTTCTTAACATATTTGAGTTTGGAGTTGATGTCCAGTGTCTGCTGAGTTGTGGTTAGGATGTTGTTCAGGCCAGTGTCTTCCCACAGAGAAAAGCTCTCCACTCTCTGTGTCCTCATGTCAAGGAATGGCAGAGTTATTTCAGGAATAGTGATGGGTTCCTTCAGCATTTCAAGATCTGCCTCAGCATTGATTTCTGATTGGATCGTAATTTCACTGTCACCATTGTCCATGGAGAACAAATGTGAGTATTTGTACTGATTAAACCTGCCCAGACTGGTCCAGCTTGCTCTGTGAATTTCCGAGCTCAAAGTAAAGTCAATATCATTCTGGAGGTCAACTTTTCCAGAAAGCTTGAATGGAAGAACAATCTTGGCCTTTCCTTTGTTCTTAGTATCAAATGTAAACTCTGTGGCTGAGATCAGAGTGAGTATAGAGTTTGAAAGGGTTCCTTCAATGTTGCCAACCAGTTCTGCATTGTGAGATGCAGTAAAATCAATTTTCATGTCTTCAGTCTTAGCATGAAGCTTAAGCTCTGCCACACTGCCCTTAATGAAAGGTGTATCAGTCTCCAACTTGGCATCAATCAGGATATGGCGGAAAATACTGATATCAGCATCAAAACTTTCTTTAACATTTAAAAGACTGCTACTGGTGTCACCAGTGAGAGTCACTTTGGTGTTCTGGAGATCCATTTCTATCTTGATGTCACTCTTGTGTTTTGCTTCATCTGAGAAATCCCAAATTCTATAGTTTTCATTGAACAAGTTATTAAAGGTAAGATGAATGCTGCCATCTTCAAGTCCAAAGACAGTCTTTTGATCAATCATCATTTCACTGAGGATGTTGAGGGGTGGGAACTTGAAATCATGTTTGTAGGCAGTGTCCATTTTGGCAGAAAATCCATTTTCCAGAGCAAAGAATCCACTGTTGACAAG